TCCATCATTTTGAGGATGAAACACACAGGAAAATAGTATTTTGGTCCCGATTTTTGCCTATAAAGTTTTCCATAAACAAGTCATGAACTTAACATCCCGGTCAGACACTATGGTGGATGGAATACCATGCAGTCGAATTACTTCTTGTAAGAATAATGCCACTATTTTGGAAGCATCAAAAGTCTTGTGGCAAGGGAAAAAAGGAGCAATTTTTGAAAAGTGATCCACAACCACCATAATGGAATCATGTTGTCGTATGGTCGTGGGCAAACCCAGCACAAAATCTATACTAATGTGTTGCCAAGGTTTATCTGGAATTAGAAAGGGGGTATAAAAACCTTTTGTTGTTTCGTGTCCCTATTTATTTGACAATTCCGACAATGAGACACTACATTGTGCAAGTCACGACGTAGTTGAGGCCAAAAGAATCGATCAGAGACTATAGCAAATGCTTTATTAAACCCGAAATGTCCTGCTAAGCTCCCTCCATGAAGTTCTGAAATGATAAATTCTCTAAAGGAGCCACACTGAATGCACAATTGAGATACATGGAATAAAAATTCATCTTTAATTGAATATGTATTTGGAACTGTGTCCCTATCGTTTGTGAGCATACTCCAGATGGTACTGAAGTCCTTATCAGTGGAATATTGTTGCTTGAGGCTATCGAACTCCACAGTATTAACTGACGAGACCATCAGCAGGTGCGGTCTCCTGCTTAAGGCGTCTACTACCTTATTCTCAGTTTCGGATTTATGCCTTGAGTTCAACTTACTTTGAGCATTCAAATGTTTTAAGGAATCATGAACTGTATAAAGAATAAATTCTCTACGGATCAAATAAGGGCGTCAATGCTTAAGTTTTTGAACCAATGCATTGAATTCCATATCATATGTTGAGTAGCGCCTATGGGTCTCATTGAGCTTCTCGCAATAGAAGGCAATAGGATGGCTTTCTTGGCAGAGGGCTCCTCCTATACCCACGTGGGATGCATCACAAGCAACTTAAAAAATTTTGGAAAAATCCGGCAACCTCAGAATTGGAGATTCTCCTATTTTTCTTTTGATCTCAGTTAATGCTCGATCAACAGCTTTTGTCCACAAAAATTTCTTGGACTTCAAACATTTGGTAATGGGAGCCTTTGATGGCACTAAAATTTCGTATGAAACGGCAATAAAAGGTTGCTAAACCATGGAAGCTGTGCACTTCAGAAAAATTTTGCAGAGCAGGCCAGCTTCTGATTGCTTGAACCTTAGAAGAATCGACTTCAACTCCCTAGTCTGAGATAATAAATCCCAGAAAAGAAACCCGATTCTTTAAGAATGAACACTTTCCGCGATTTATAAAAAGTCGTACCTGCTGCACATGGTCTAAATGGTCTGCAAACAATGGCTAAAAATCAAAATATCATCAAAATAGACGACTGTGAATTTGCCTAAGAAAGGCTTAAGTATTTGTTTCATAACACACATGAATGTACTAGGTGTGTTGGCTAGTCCAAAAGACATAACCAACCACTCAAATAATCCATCTTTTGTTTTGAATGTCGTCTTCCACTCATCTCCGGGAAAGATTCGAATTTGATGATACCCGCTACAAAGATCAATTTTTGTAAAGACGAATGTGTCTCTTAGTAAGTCAAGCATGATGTCTAGTTGTGGGAGAGGGAATCGGTATTTGACGATTATTTTGTTAATTGCTCTACCATCGCCCGCTACAAAGATCAATTTTTGTAAAGACGAATGTCTCTTAGTAAGTCAAGCATGATGTCCAGTCGTGGGAGAGGGAATCGGTATTTGACGGTTATTTTGTTAATTGCTCTACCATCGGCGCACATCCTCCAAGTATTATCCTTCTTTGGTGTAAGTAGAACTGGCACGACACAAGGGCTAAGACTTTCTCGGATGAAACCATTGTCAAGCAGCTGTAGAATTTGTCTGTTGAGTTCCTCATTTTCTATGGGGCTCATGTGATGATGAGGTAGATTTGGAAAAAGAAGAACCTAGAATTAAATCAATGGCATGTTGTACCTCTCGCATTGATGGTAGTTGTCTTGGCATCTCTTCGATCATAATGTCTTGGAACTTCTCTAGCATCTTCGTAAATTCGTTGAGGATAATGCCGCCATCCTGTTTAGCCTCTCGTTTCAATACTAACAATACTAGTTGTTCTTCCTTTAGAGCTTGAGTGAATTGTCGAATGGTTAGCACTGAAACAACTTCTACCTTTTTTTGCTTTGGTAGTGCTTCAAATCCATAGATCTGCAAAGGGACTAACACAATTTTTTTGTGAATGGTTAGCACTGAAACAACTTCTACCTTTTTTTTCTTTGGTAGTGCTTCAAATCCAGAGATCTACAAAGGGACTAACACGATTTTTTTGCCATTAAATTTAAAGGAGTAAGAATTGGCATACCCGTCATACAACACATTTCTATCATAGGGTCAGGGTCGACCCAATAGCAAATGGCAAATAGTCATGGGAATCACATCACACCAGACCTCGTCCAAATAACTTTTTCCCATTGTGAACCTCACTAAGCAATGATGCATAACTAAAATGGGATTAATTACATTAACCCAACTTACTCGAAAAGGGATGGGGTATTTTTCAGTTCTGAAACCCAACCGTTCCACTCTAGCACTGGAAATCACGTTCATTCCACTCCCGTTGTCAATTATTACATTTAACGCACGACCACCACGCTCCATTCGTGTCTGGAAAATGTTGGTGTGTCGCCAATCTAGATCAGCACCTTGGATCTTTTACTCAGTACCTGTCAAAACTTAGTGAGTCACACAACTGGGCAAATCAATTGCTGCCAAGTGCTCTACAACTTCGTTGTTGCTTGCTTCGTATTATGTTTCTTCAACTCCATCAACTGTGTCCACCAATCTAAGTTCTTTCTCACACACAAAGACCAAATTTTTTTCTCTTGTAGGACATACTAAAGCAAAATGCCCAAACCCCTTGCACTTATAGCATTGTGGCCTGTCATCCATAAGTTTGGATTTTCCTCTTTGGTCACCCATCATGGTGTGTCTACCCTGGTCAGTGGGTAAAGATGGTTTCTGACATTGTTGTGTCGATGCATGTTTCTGTTTGGGATCTGTAGATGACATGTGTCTTCCGTTGGAGTATCCCAATTGCTTTTCAACGCATAAAGCCAATTGGCAGGCTTCATCAACATCAGGATCCGTGCCATTGGCATCTATTTTCGCCGCTCGTTATGTAACCCCGTGCGATATCGAGCTAGAGTTTGTTGTTCATTTTCCACCATCATGCTGCGGACAGTCAATTCATGGAAACGGTTTGTGTATTAGTTGACAGTCAATATTCCTTGTCTTAGTTTCAGCATCTCTTCAAACATCATTTGCTTGTAGTCAATAGGTAAATATTTCTCCTTTAGCCACTCCTTCATTTCTTCCCAATTGAACACTGGCGCTCGTTGAGTACAATATAGTTGTTCTTCTATGCTACTCCACCAAGCTCGTGCATGTCCTTTTAATTTCATACGAACATAACGTACATTTCTATCGTCAGAAACAAAAAACCAATCAAAATAATCCTCAATAACCAATCAAAATAAAACCAATCAAAATAATCCTCAATAGTCGTCAACCAATCTTCAAAAGCATTGGGGTCCAATTTTCCAAGAAAGTCAAGAATATCGACCTTCATGTCATTGGTTAGTTCATCACAAGGGTGATGGTCGAAGCCACGCCCTCCTCGCCCCTGGAAATATCACAACCATTTCGTCCAGAGCGAGCTTCACAATCACCAACTCCCTTGGAGTCTTCATCCTCTTCATTATCGTCTACTTCAGCTTCCGGAGGAGGCCCATGCATCCTCTTATTATGCGGTCCAAACTCATTTCGGGTTTGACGCTCCTCCATGGTATCCAATCTATGAATTATATGTTCTAAAACGAACGCCTGTTGGGTGATTTGTGTTTTTAGTTAGACTAGATCAATATTTTGGTTTTAAATATTTGACACATTGTAAGAGTTATCACTACAGGTTACCGACATGAGATATTTGAATTCCTGGAGGTAGGAAAATCCGCTCTGATACCAAATTTGTGCCTTCCCCTCAAGGTCAATATCACTCTACAATATTGGAAGACTCACCAACGGTAATTGAAAGAAAGCTGAATTGGCAACCATAGAAGAACTACCTACTTTTTTCGAATTACTTTATTAAATAGCAAATTACATTATTATATTCCCATCTCAACTGGGAAAGTAATAACTAGGAAATTAAATTAATAAAGCAATAAATATTATATTCTTATCCAACTAGGAATTCAAATTTAGAAAGCAATAAACCTGACATAATAAAATACAGAATCTAAGTAATTAACTTCCGAAAACGTGAACTTTCCAAAACTCTTTCGTGATTGCACGGATTATGGAGTTAAATTATCACCCTTTCGGATTTGCCTTTGCGTTGATATCCGTCTCCATATTTCCTCGTAGATTTGCATCAATTCCTCCCAGATTTGCATCAATTGGTTATATGGCAGCAAAGTGTGACATATAAATATCAAAGTTTAGGGGAGTTTGATATACAAATACATAAGAAATGTGTGGTCTATATGTAAATTTCCTTTAAAATTACATTTTTTTTTTTACTTTGAAAATTGGTTTTAGTAACTTTAAAAAAAAAAAAAAAAAACTGAACTCGCATGAGGTACTGAAGGGTAAAATTGAAAACCCAAGCCGACAATAACCAATATAATCTCTCTTGGAAAGCTGTCCCATCTGTTGCCATAAAAAACCTTTCCTTTTTCCACTTCAATCAAAGCAGAAATATAAGAGAATGAATAAAAAGGTTACATAAAACCACTTCCCCCACCATTGAGGAGAACGATCCCAAGAGATGCACAGTAGATTCGGATCCCCATCAATCACCAAACAATTGCTCAACGCAATTCTCTGGATAAAAACCAAATAATTCACTTCCAAACAGCTGGGGATCAATCCCAATCTTTTGAAAAAATAAAAAATTTAATTAATTAATGGGATCAATTTAAGCCGCCAAAAATAAATTTGTAGGCCTAAGTTATATAAATTGCATCAGACAATCAAAATGGTAATTGATTAGGATCCGAGTACCTGCATGTTAGATGTTGATTGTTGGCAGGCACACAAATAGGGAGCCTGCAATGAATCATTTTATCCAAAGAATCAGCTTTAGACCTCCATTTATTAATCCTCAATCTCCTGTGGCTCAGGGAAGATATCCTTAGGAGGCCTCCGGCGAGAGAGGGAATGCTCGCCCACACTTCCCTGCGATCTCATTGTACCCGAGCGCCTCAAACTCCGGTCCTCCCTCGGCTGCGCCGAAACCGAAGGAATGTCCGACGAACTTTGCCGCCAGCTTCCGAAGAAAACAGCGCTCCAAGAACCTCTCGAGGATGTAGCTTTTAATCTTCCTGAACCAGAGTGGTGCTCTTCTCGAACCACCTTTAATGGATTTTCTAATGCTTTCAGAATGTACTTCATGAGGGGCCGCTTCGAGGACTTGGGATTCAGGCAAGACCTCGCCACAATCGCCATTGCCCACACTTCTTCGAGCAAGTCCTCGTCGACGATGAGCGAAGGGTCGACTATTTTTGTTACGAGCTCTTTTTCGTAGATGTTGATGAAGCATAATGTGTGCTCGAGCCATTCGTTGGTTGAGGCGTCGTTTGAGCCGCTGATGCCGAGCTTGCCTGTCACCAGCTCTAGTAGAACCTTGCCGAAACAGTGCACATCATAGGCGCAGGATGCGGGTGGCTGGCCTGTAAATCGGAAAAAAATAAGCATCTATATTGATATGATAATATCAGGTGACTCAATCTGATAGGGGATCATTAAATTCACATACCTGAGGTACTTTGCTCAGATGTCCTGCACAACATAAAAGAAAAAAATATATATTAGACTGATAAGCATATATAATTTCTCCTATAAATCTAGCGTGTGTGTGTGTGTTTTATTTTAGAAGGATGGGAGCCTTTGTCCCACATGGCTTTCATCTTTATCCAAAAATTTAAATGGTTGATTTAAAATAGCTAAAAGATAATTTATCTTTCACATAATTGTCCAATCTTGACATATCAGCACACAATTAGTATGATTATCTATTTTTTTTATATGATGTAGGCCACCTTAATATGTTGGTTGAGAGCTTATGCTGTCAACCACAGACTTAGTATATGCGGTTTGTATGTCTTTGAGATTAATTTCACTTAAACATCCAATGAAATACCGTTAGATGGTCATGCAAGCTTCTAGAGAAATTGATATAATAAATCTCTTGATAAGAAAAGAGATTTGAGGGACTATTTTGGTCAAATATAAGATAATATACATGGAAATATTCCTCCCTAAAATCATGCATTCTGTAACGATCACTCCACTAACTGGCTCCTACCTGCCAGCTGCCTCTGCCTGTCCTCAACAATAGCTGCCTCTTCTACGAGTACTCATCGAACCAAGACCATTCATTCACATCCGATTGTTCATGTGCAGAGATGGGTTATGATTTTTTATTAAAAAAAATGTCAAAATAATTCATGGACTACTTATGTGGCCATTTCAGTTCCAAATCACATATGTTCAATTTGGTCAATCGATTCTTCAAAAATGATCCAACAATCATTTGGTTGATTTATTTTTAATCAAATTTGAGAAGGCAAAGGCCAAAAATTAGACACAAAAGATAGCGTGGAACTAAAATAGTCGCCCTTAAATGATTCAAGGATCATTTTGATATTTTTCTCGTTTCTTATTATTGCTTTAATTGTTGTAATTATATTATTGTTCTTTGTATCCCTGATTTGGCAGCCCCAAAATTCATATATTTCCTATTATAGAAGTTTCTATGATCATACATATTTATTACACATGGTGAGATAAGATGCACTCAACTTTCCTCCAATTTTTGCCAATAAACTTGCCATTCTAGTAGGGTTTTCATGCAAAACTTAACTAAAGCTTTGATAAAAAGACAGTCCAAAGCCCAATTGTAAAACTATAAACATAACATCTCCAAGACGGCTTCTAAAAGATAAATGATCAACTCATTATGATCCTGAAATGTGGAAGGTTGACAATTTGGCATGTATATTATTGGATGCTTATATGATGACATAATATGGTCCAACATAACACTAGAGCCTATATTGCCTACAGGAATGAATCATGTTACTACGGGCTATAAAATATCTACTCGTAGCTTTGCATATATAAATAAATAGTGGTGAATGATTTATTAGAGGCAAAATAAATAAAAGATTGAAAACAAACTTGAGATTACACCTTATAAAGAACTTCATAATCCTGGCTCAATATTTTCTATAAGCGCATAGCCCCAGAATAAACAACGTCTCCCAATTGTGAGAAAGAGCTTCCGATTAAAACAAGTCTATAAACTATAAAATGAACTGCTTAAGTAACAACAATTTGGATTAGGGAAGAAAGGCATTTCACTGTAGGCTCAAGAAATTATCGGGTGCACAACTTCCTGATTGTGAAACTTAGTTGTGTACAACCACTGTATTGGTTGTAGGTAAGTTATCCACACCAAATACTTTCACTAATGCCTCATAGTGGGCTTAGAGAGGGGGTTGCCGGCTAACAACACGCTCAATCACGATCCCATGATTCTCCGAACCATCATGAATCATAATCTGATTAATCAAATGTTGTAGTCAACCTAACATACCTGAATGGTTCTTTTTAGCAATCATCATCTGTGCTACCCAATGAAACCTCGTAAACTTTGAGAGGAGAGCTTGGAGCCAATTTCAAAACTGAATGCATGCCATATTGATTGCACCTTATGGCTTAAAACTTAATTTATGAGGAACATCTAGACTTGGCCCTTCCTTCGATTAGCATGATCTATGGAATAATTTTAAACATGATAATGTGAAATGAAGCTAGCTTGAGAGGTCCTTACCAATGTGAGATTCTTTTAGACTTCTTTTCTTTTTCTGTCTTTATCAACTTTTATCTATTACCTTATTGTTTCCATATTCTTATTTTTTAGTTATCTTAAATTTTCTTTTATATTTTTAAAATTAAATATATCAAAATAACAATTCCTAGCTCACTTAGATCCTTGGTTGAGCGAGACTTGATGACAACATCAAACTCACATGCGATTGTCTTTTGCCACGAATCACACACACTTGGGTGTTTGGATAGGCACACCCATAGATGCTTGTTTAGCCTAGATTAAGATGTAGTTAGAATTTTCATACATGTGGCTAAGGTTACGTAC